AGTTGGAAAGTTAATCGAACCGTTACTTTATAGTTTGACAAATTACACGTATTTATGTGTAAGCATCATATTGTTAAAATATTTATATGCCATTAGTATGTCTTGATTCGTTACTATAATTCTGTTCAAGAGTGTTAAAAAAAGTTTAATTTGTTTATGTTTGAAATAAATATTTGTGTAATGTACAATAATGGTATTATTTGAATAGTGTTTTTTTTTGTTTAAAAAATATTTACAGAATGACAAAAAGATTAAGATTTGCAATTAGAAAGTCAAAGATTCTGCAGATATATGTTTTCATTGTTATAGTTCCATACCTTCTCTTTCGCATTCAAGTCATTTTCGATTATTTCTGTGATTATTATTAATTAACGAACTAAATCACAATGCAAATGTTCTATTTCTAATTAGAAATTCTATCAATATTCAGTTTGACAACCATCTGTGGTTACCACTTGTAAACGTTAATCTCTCAGTGATCAAACATAAACATAATTTTTTCCCACGTGCCAATTTGTATATCTTTGATGTATTTTCATAATTCATGCATTTTTTGTAATATCTTTTTTGGAATTATTATGTTCAAAGGATCACCTTCATCACCCTAATGGAACAAGTTTTTGTTCTCTGCTCTTTCTTTCATGTAATTATGTACTATGTACAAGATGTATATTCTAATGAAGTTTATACATATATTTTACAGTAAATGCCTACGCCTAGATGACAAATGTAACAGCCTAAATGGCAGTTTAAACAATACCTCCAATAACAGCACAAAATGGTTATGTTCTGGCGACACGAGTCTTGTAGAACCAGAAATTTTGGAAGATATGGGAGTTAGTATGTTGGAAGATGAAGCAACGAGTTACAAAAGTACAAGGAAATCTCACTCTTTAGAGCGAACAACCTCACCTGCTGCCTCAAATAACAATGGACAATGTGGAAAGTTAAATAACTCTCAGAGCCAAGAGTGTACTTACAGTGGTTCCAGCTTTGATACCGTCAGTATAGACAGGTTTGTATTTTAACTGTGGAAATACCTACCAATAGTTGCTTTCCTTGCACACTAATTCCTCCATTAATATGTATTTTCCAGTAGTTTTGAAGTTACTCGAAGATCTGGTCTTGATTCGTACGAATCGGATGAGCCTACAACCTACTCAACAATTGGAAACGAATCTGGTTATTCCTCTAGGATGGAAATAGATAATTTTATTGATACAAAAGAAACCTTTCCCAAGGATAATCTGAATCTATCCACCGGAGAAAGTAGCCTCGAACAGTTTAATCTCTATAGAAGGAAAAGGAAACCTTCAATTGTTGGCGAAGATAAATTTAACAAATTGTCGGACGAGATGATCTTGATGATATTAAAGTGGCTTCCAAAAAAGTGTCTGGTAAGATTGTAAGATCGATCGGCAAGTCGACAGTAAAGTAAACGTTTAATATCGAGATATTATTTTACATCGCGTTCGTTTCTTTTAGGTACGTTCCATGTTGGTCTGCAAACGGTGGTGTCAAATAGCGCGAGACGAGGCGTTATGGAGCAGATTGGATTTAGGGAGCAAAGTGTTGAACGAAGGTACATTGGGTCACATATTACCACGAGGTGTTCAGATACTTCGACTCGCGCAAGCAGAAATTGCCGATCCTGTATTTCTTGAAAACAGTGAAATTCTCATCGATGGTTATATTAGTAAACTGCAGTACTTGGACCTTTCGATGTCTGTAATTTCACCCGATGGATTAGCCATGCTATTGTCCAAGTGTAAATACCTTAAGAAATTATCTTTGGAAAAGTGTACAGTAAATAGAGCATGTTGCAAAGCTATCGGCAGTAACAATGATTTAGAAAGTCTAAATTTAACAATGTGCGAGGGTATGGACATTGAATGTGTCAAAGACTTGATGAACCTTAACAAGTAAGTAAAATTATTTTCGATATTGCGAGAAATTTACACTTTATAAGTATCCTGTTTCAATATTCGCAGTCTTATCGCTGTGAATATGGCTTGGTGTGGTCTAGATGCTGATACTATGGCACTACTTTGTACATCTTTACCGTCGTCCGTTATTCGTTTAAACATAGCTGGATGCAGGAAAACAATAACAGATGATAGTAAGTACAAGTTTCATGGTTTACGAAAATTGATGTTGAAGTTTGTTGTTCATTCGTGGTCAACCACGTGTTATCTCTCTTTTCATTTCAGACGTCAAGGATTTAGTGAAAAGCTGTCCAAACATGATCGAGTTAGACTTGAGTGATTGTAGTATGCTTACAATGAACACTGTTCGTAGTTTGCTCGATTTGTCAAAATTAGAGCATCTATCGTTGAGTCGCTGTTACGGTATACCCCCATCGACGTATGTAACGTTGGCGTATATGCCGTCTTTGTTGTATTTGGACGTTTTTGGTGTAATACCTGAACCAGTACTGAAATCATTACAAGTTACCTGTGGTGAAACCCAACTTAACAAGTTCCTATATAGTTCTATTGCAAGACCAACCGTTGGGGTTCGGAGGACAAGCATCTGGGGACTTCGCGTTAGAGATTGAAGATAGTTTTTTCTAATTTTTTTTTTTTACACAAGTAGAGTGATAAAGACCTATTAAATACCAAAGGGAAACTGAAATATGTATGCCTTTTTGCAAAATGTCTTTAAGAAGAGACTGATTTTATGATTCTATCGAAATAAGATTAAAACATGCATTTTCTATATCGTCTGTTCTCTTTGTCTTTTACGCTTTCTTTTTTCTTCTAAATTGTAAATTAAATGTACTTCAATTTCATTTATTTGCCAGCCATTTATCTACAACTGGAACAAACGTACAAATTGATGTATGTATTTATCGACCAATATATACATATGTTGTTAACTTTACACGATTGGATTTATAATGTAAATGTATTTCGCACAAATGTATTTTCGATCATAGCTTATTGAAAGATTTTTGTACGTAAACTAATCTCTGTATGATTTTTCTTTTTCATCTGACGAGTAAAAATATTATATTTGTAACGCTGCCTTTTTCTTTCTTTCTTTATTACAACTTTTTGCGAAATCAAATTTATTACTGAAAATTTTTTAATCCTTTTAAAAAAAATAACACTGACATTAAATAACAAAGTAAACTTATTTTTCAAAATGAGTAACTGATTAAAACAAATCGAAATTTTTTTAATAAATAACAATAAAAAGATATGAAAGATTTATTAATAATTATAAGAATATAGCAAAACGTTTCTCAAACATTTTTGCCAAATTATTTTAACATGTATACATCTAGTTACAATGTACGATATATATGTACAAAATTCTTTTGTAGTACTGTTAAATGACATCGATTAAATCTACATTTTATATTTGACAATTCGCTACCGACTTCGAAACCTACCAGTCGGCCTTCCTGAGAATTTCAAATTACTTGATGTGATGAAATAATACGAAATTGACAATGTACAAACAAAAGTGTTACTCGAGAATTTCATTGGAAATAAATAAAAGAAAACGAAACGGGTGGCAAAATATTGGAACGTATATTTGAATTTCAATTAATGCCTGTTAATTTTGAAAAGATTCGTTTCGTTTTCATCAAATTGTAACTAAGTCAAGTACACGTATATACAAATATACACACACACATACGCGCGCGCGCGCGCATGCACACAGTCATATATATATTTTATATATAAGTGGACGTTAACGTTTAATCAGTCTAGGAATTTTTACAACAAATATACTTCTACCTTAAAATATATACAAGTATATATTTTGTATAGAAAACGAGAACTCAGTATTAAATCCATCCTCTTGTAACAACATCATTTACATCTTTTACAACTATCATTTCTTACCAATTCATTTTTCAATGAAGTATCGCTTATAAGTTTTCGTGCAACGACGCTCGTTAATTAAGCTGTTGCCACGGAAGCTGCGTCCGATGGTGATTCAATTGTTGTCTTGGATTTCACAGGCTGAATCTCAATCTCTTTTTCAGTGGCGTAAATCGACTTCGCCTCTTGTCTTTCTTGCTCGCTTTGCCATTGAACCTGTAGAGACACAAACCATAGTAGAGACAAATGTCACGAGCGTGAATTTCTCAATGCTATAAAACGAGACAGTACCTTCTGCTTGTGCTGTTTGACAGCCTCTTTGCACTTGTCTACAACCATTTGTTCGGTCAGTACCCCATCTTCGGAAGCATACGCTGCTGCTTGCCAGGTGACACCCAATTTCGCTAGTTCTCTTCCGGACATACCCTCAGTTATTTCAGCTATTTTACTGCAAAGTGCGTTATAATCGAACTGTGCGACTTTTAATCTTTTATTACCCTCAATCGCTGGCTGAAGAACAAATTTGTCAAAGTAAAGTCGAACCAGGCGCTCGCGTTCTTCTCTACCCGGCAGATGAAACTCCACCATCTCGTCCAATCTATCATTGACAGCCCAATCAAACTGTTCAGGAGTATTTGAGGCGAGAATCAACATGAACTTGTTGCTCTGCTCGCCAGTCCTGTAGAGGAACGCATTCAGCATCGCCCTCAAATCTTCGGAGATATGCTCGCTCGATCGTTTTCTCAGAAAGGCATCCGCCTCGTCGATAAAAAGCAAAAGGCCTTTCCTAGATGTTACTGCCCAGTCGAAGACTTTGTGAATGGCAGTGACACCATCTCGACCCAGTGGAGCCAAATCGCCGCCAGTCACGATCGCGTAATCCATTCCGGAGTGTTGCGACAACTTCTTTGCGAACATTGTTTTACCCGTCCCGGGTGGGCCGTGCATCAATATATTTCTGTACATTCCGCGATTTTGTTTCGTGTTTTTCGTAGCTATCGCGATGTCGCGCAATCTTTCTTCGAGCTTCGGCGCTAAGACAACACCGGACAGAGCATCGGTCTGCTTGGTTCTCAATTTCTTCAACGCTTGAACAGGATGCCGCAACGTGTCCAACACTGTGAATCTGGAAGTTTCTCGAACGAGAGACGGTTTCCCTAGCCGTGATTCAACGTATCGTGCGGCTATGCCCGTCGTTCCTTTGGCGCTGTACACTCCGAAAGCCAACAGAGACAAGCCTCCAGCCGCAGCGATAATTTTATCCCAGTCTTGAAGGAAAGCTGTGACGCCAGTGCCTAATACCGAACCAGCAGTTCTGAAATTAACATCCCGTAAATTCCCTCTGTGTCACATCGATCAACGATTTATCTGTTGTTTCTTTTACTCACTTTATCGACTCCAACACTGTCACTCGTTTCTCAGACGCTTTCACCCTAATTTTCTCGATATTCAGATCTTGATTTTCCCTGTCTATCTTTGCTTTCGCTTTGATCTCCGCCTCTAGCTTCTTCATTTCGTTTTTGTATCTCAAGTCCATTTCGTGCTCTATCGTGGCTTTCCTCATTGCCTCTTGCTTCGCTACTGACTCCTCCTGCCTCCTCAAATTTTCATCGTTCATTCTCTGTTGCTGTATCAGTTGATCGTCGTATCGTTTCCTGGCCAACTGATCTTGATACTGAGCTCTCATTTGATGCTGTTTGGTTTCCTCTTGCAGCACTTTCCTCCTCTCCTCCCCGTCGATACGCTTTTGCTCCGCTTTCATTTGCTCTATGCCAGCCTCGTATCGTTTCACTTCCGCTTGTCTCTCCATTTGTTTGGTAGTTTCCTGCATTTTGGACAACTCCAATGCTTCTTTGGCATGCTCTATAAAAATCAGAAGGCAATAAGATGTAAATGTAATGTAAGAACTTGACTGATTTGCGTTGTAAGATTTTTTTATTTTGTACGTGCAATGTAATTCTATGAACACATATAATGATAATAATAATAAAGGAAGAAAATTGCAAAATGATCGATAGATAAAAAAGAGAGTTATCAACGTCGGACGAAGTTACACGACATGAATATTTCAAACAAATTTGTGATCATTTTCATTGATGAAAATGATTATTCGAGACCATGTTCAACAGCGAGTCGCATCATTACGAATCAAGAAGTCCTTAACCTAGGAAATCGTTATTTGCTTATGTAACATTTCGATATGTAACCTTTGACTGGCCACATGTCCCATGTGAAAAATACCTATAATGTACATTATTATTATTACCATTTCAGCCGCCCGTTGCGATTAATGTGTAGAAAGGTTACGTTTCCTTAGAAGTTAGAAGTGAAGCACGATACATGGTCGTCATTCTGAAACTTCTTAAACTAGAAAGAAATAGTCAGATCGCGTATAAAAGGATACGCATTTTCTTATTAACATGAATTAAACTGACTGGGGTCCATTGAACCCCACGTGGCCAGTCGAAGGTTAATCGAGGGTAAAGCAAATGTGACCGATCACATACTGGATTTTTCGAGTTCTTTGGCGGCGGTCGCTGCTCTCTCCAAAGCGCTGGAGTCGAATCGGTAAGGTTCCATGTGAGATATCCTCGGCGGTGGTGCACGATCGTCTCCGCCACCAGCCCCGTCGGATGCCGACGGTGGTACGAACTGGGAGAAGTCTTGCGATTGTGCGTTACGGTAACCGAAAATCCACGACATGGTTCACTCTGCTTCGAGAATGATTGTTACCACTGTTGACCGACTGCTAGCTCGACGAGACTCCGTGCCGTGTCTGTTAACCTTTCCGTTTTCGTTACCACGAACGACTCCCACGTGCACTGCCGGCGTGAAAATTGAAACTATAGTAGAGATTCCGGACCGATCGGACTGCTACTTGACTGCTGCTTATTTCTCCGCTGGCGACAGCAGAGTTCCCAAATATAGGGGAAACATGGCGGTGTGGCGTCGTGGGATTTCGTTCGTGACGTAGTGGACACACTGGCAAAGATACGAATGAAAACCGTAAATTCTCTGTACAGTGTTGACTGTACTTGTCCGAAAAATCGATATTTGCGAGTGTTTCGATCAAGTTTCACTCGTTTGAAAATTATCAAATTATACATAACCCGCTTATACATAACAGTAAGTAAACAATTTTAATTTATATTTCAACTAATTTGAAACACTCGAATGTAATGAAAACATTCAGAAATAGTAGTTTGAATAGCTGAGAATATTGCCAAAACTCAACTTCAATTTTATACGAAGAAAAAACTCGAGAAGTTCATCGTTCGAAAATAGTCGTACAATTTAAATATTATGTTGTACGTTTTCGAATTTTAATCTTAACATTATTATTTCAAATACAATTCCGTTCGAAATTATCAAGTTTACCATTTGTCCATCCATATGTCAATTAATTTAAAATATTTTTAAAACATTACTCGAAAGTAATGAAAACATTCAAAAGTAATAGCTTGAATATCTGAGAATGTTATCGAAGCTCAATTTCGCATGAAAAGGAACTGCAAAATTTCATTGGAAGTTGGAAAATAGTCGTACAATTAAAATGATAATATGTATATAAATATTATATTATTTATTTTCGAATCTTAATCTCATTACGTGTTACTGTTATTACAAATACACATATACATAACGTGTAAAATATTGTCGTCAATTAAAATTACGTTGATCATTGAGAACGATTTAAAAAATACCCTTTCGAATTGAAGTCGTTCATTTTAAACGATAAATCGTAGCCAGTAAATAAATGAATGGTTTATTTAATTTCGTTTTATTGAGAAATAATTAAAAGATATACATATTTCCTTGTCAGCTGGCGGTCATTTGAATTTGAAACGTAATTAATAAGTAGAGCTTGTGTAACGTTAAAACATTGACCACGAGCATAGAGTTAAAGTTTTAAAAGAGAGAATGACGCTTTGTGTAAAGAAACACATACTTATGCTTGTGCGAAGTCTAACCGTGAGTCTAGGCACAACGCGAGAGTGTTGACCGCCATCTATCAATGTCGTCTTCTAGTGATAAGAGACTAATCGTAGCACGAAGCTGTAACAAAATTGTCCGGAAATTCGTCGTCTGATCGACGATTTAATACGGAAATGTATACAAGTTTTAGCTGAAATATTTCTAAAAAAGCTCGTGTTCAGGTAATATGTAAATAATAACTCGGAAGATGGCAGGTAGTACTACGTAGTAGTTACTACGTCGATAATGTCGTCGCAAGTTTAACGCAGCAAGGTTCCGGTGATTCACAGTGAATGTGCTCTTTTCAAACATGGAGAGGTTAATTGTTTGAAATAATATGTGGGAGTTAGGAAGCCGAAGTGTCATCGTGCTAGTAAGTGTGTTGAGCGGGTGCGTGTTTCTCTACAACGTTTGGGGGCCGATTTTTATTCTCATTGTTTTACTGTTCCTCACGATTTACGCGTGCTACTTTTTAATCGTCAACGACAGCTTACTGTCGCCACGCGCGTTTATCTTGCTTGAACACTGCAAATACATCACCCTCGAGGTTCGTCGGAGTTTCAAGGCCGTCATCGATCACGTCCACCAGCACGTTCGGCAATTTCTCGAAACTGCGAAACGTCGTTTTCGCCAACGATACCTAGCCCAAGCCAGCTCCACGATGGAAAGACGTCGATCAGGACTGTATTATCAGCTTAGCACCGATTCTTATCCCACGAGGTCGAAGAACGCTTCTCATCTCGGCTCGATCGCGCAGCTCAGCCCGATTCCAAAAAGTTTGCAAAAACCTGACGCGTCGAACGATGTCACCTCGAAAAATCATTTTTATCAAGGTAGCGAGCATTTGTCGTACGATCACCATCCGTTTGTCAGTAAGCGCACCTCCACGCCAGTGTTTACGCGAAATAAGGAGGAACTGGAGAATCAGACGTTGAAATTCTCACCTCCTGGGCAAGAAAGGCTGTCGAAGAGAGCATCTCCTCTCTACAAACAGAATCAAGCACTCATGCAGGTGGAAAACACAACGTACTTTGACGCGGAAGGCTCTTGTCTGTGGAGTTCTACTCCATCTCTGAAAACAAATTCAAAAGCAGGAGAGAGGAAAGCCGTGCAAACAGTTGCCGGACCTTTATTGACGTCGACCAGATACAACATTGATCCAAAGTAAGTAGCCCTAGTACATTCATAGTAGATAGACACTCGTGACACCTGTCCAACTGTCCAACTCTGTCCAAGATCAGAGACTTAAATTTTAATTTCATTGCAGAGTGTACAACGACGTAACGTCTCCAGGACTCACAGCTCGATTGACCAAGTATGCCACAGAGGCTAGCAACAAGTTGACTCATCAGTCTAAATATCGGGTAGGACAGTTTCCAAAAGTAAATCTTCATGCTAGTTCGGTGCCGGTGATAAACGTCAAGTCCATGAGGACAAGGACACCGGTGACGGTTAACGTAGCACCGTCTCACGTCATACGATACTCTTCGCCGTCGAAGCAAAACATCTTGTCGAATTTGTGTCATCATTCGGACGATAGTTATTCGTCGCCCAACGTCGCTCAAGCTTTAAGGGAGATATCGCTGAAGCGTCACGCTTCGAGGGAAGACGTCGTTTCCGATTTCGCAAAGAAACAACGAAGAGACAACGTCGTTCCCAGTAGCAAGGAATTCGAGGCACAGGACGAAGTGAAACAGAAGAGGAGCAGAGACGATTCCTTGAAGTCGGAAGATGACACTTCACCCCAAAGTAAAATCGTTCGACCCGCGAAGCGGACTAAAGCCCCCTCGTGTTACGACATCATAAATTCGCTCAGTTCCAGCAAGCACGTTGTATCCGGCGTCAAAAGGAAAGCCAGTAAGTCTTGGAACAATATAATTTGATGGCGTGCTCGGACTTGTGTCTTGTATTGTACTCAATTTTCTTAGTTACACTCTCATTTACTTTCATGTACTTTAGTAGATTTTTCACGGAGCGGAACACCGGATTTTGAGAAACATTTCAAATCATTGGAATGTGTTCAAAACGCTAGTACACAAACGTCGGTGCAACAACTGCGGAATACCAGTCCAAAGCATCCTAACTACGAGCTAAACACGGAGAGAAGAAGTAATTCAGTTGCATGTAACTCTGTCGACAAACTACAAGAGCACACGCCGTTGAAGGGGATTTTAAAAACAAGTAACAAAAGTAAAGAGAACGAATCGGATCGTAAACACGCGAGGCGTTTGAACGTGCAAAGTAACAGTAAAAATGACTCGGCCGAGTCGGTCGAGTGTACCGAATCGGCCAAGTTAACGGACAAGTTATTTATGAGGGCAGAACCGGAAAGGAACGAAAAGTTACGGTTGCTCGTCGAAGAACAGGGTAACATACGAGCCAAGTTCACCACCGACGACGTGGAAGAGATAAAAAGAGAGGATATCACGGACATGAGACAAACGAGCATGAAGGCAAGACTACAGAGCATGTTCGATGCCATATCTGGTAAAGGTAAGGAAATTCAACGCGCCAGCATGTTGATTTTCAATTCGTTACGAACGGTGGTTTTCAGTAAGATATGTTTTTTATAAACAGGTGAATATATTTATTTCGCCTAATTCCTTATATATATATATATATATAT